TTGATTCCTTGTACTTTCTCTTGATTCCTTCCTTCCTTCCTCCCTTCTTTCTTTCTCTTTTCCTCCTTTCCTTCCTCCCTCCCTTCCTCCTTCTTTCTTTCTGTCTTTTTCTCTCTCTTTCTCCTTCTCTCCTTTCTTCCCTTCTTCCTTTCTTCCTTTCCTCCTTCCCTCCCTCCTCTTCCTTATTCTGGAGTTCTTGCTGCTGTTCTTTTATAACTCCTCTAGGGTCCTCAGAATTATCTAATCAATCAGGAAATTTTGGTTCATTTTCCTTCTGTTCTGGCTTCTGAGTTTTTATTCCCTCCCCTACCCTTTTCCTTCTAGCTAAATGAGCCTCTCTCCCAATTTATGTTCTTGTGAGCTACCTTTTGACTTTGGCTTTTCCCCTTGATCTTTAAAACCTCCTAATTCCTGTTGCTTCTCTCTTAGTTTCTTCCAAAATCTTTGGTTCTTCCCCCCCACTTTTTCATTGCTGCACTGATCTCCATAGCTGGATTTCCTTAGCCTCCTTGGGCTAGTCCCTTCCCAGAGTAAACTGTAGCAAAAGAGAGAATTGGTTCTAGTTCTAAATCTCTCTCTCTCTCTCTCTCTCTCTCTCTCTCTCTCTCTCTGTGTGTGTGTGTATAAGATCAAGCAATTTTATTGGGAAGCCAGGATAATAGACCAAGTTAGATTATGCTGCAATTCTCGAAGTAGTCCCTTGAACATAAGAGTAAAAGGTCAAATTTGGGCTTTCATGTAAGGAATATGAATTCAGTCCTCAAAGCTCTGAGCTGGTATTACCATCAAAGAGATATGAAGTACAGAAATTGATTTTCAGCTACTTCAGTTTCATAATCTGAGCACATATTCAGTATCACTGGAAATGATACCTCTACCTTGTATCTCTAAAGTCTCCAAGGAACTCAGGAGTTTTATAGGTTTCATAATTGTTTGGAACAATGTGATTACTCCTCTTACTTTTTCTGTGAGTGAAGAGATAGTTTGGATAGCATTGGTCCTGTTTCATTAATGAGGAGACTGAAAAACAGTATTGCAAAGGGACTTCCCTAAGGTCATTCAATAAGTTGATGGCACAACCCCAAACTGAGACCTGATATTTCTACTACCAGTATCAGAGGCTGGCAGAAATTCTGTCTTTATCTACGTGACTTGGTACTTTGAAGAAAAAGTGAATAATTCAGTCAAAGATCCTCTAATTCTGTCTACTCCATAATTAACATGGATTTCTGACAGGATTCTTTTGTTTCTGTGGGAGAGTGAGTCAGAAGACTAAAATGCTGACTCCACTAAGTGTGATCTTGTATGATTTTGACAATGTCAATTAGAGCCTCAATTTCTTCATCTATAAAATGATGGGGTTATATTAGATATCTTCTAAGATTTCTTCTGTTTCCAAATCTGTGATTCGGTAAATACCAAATCCCTTGCATAGAAAAACATATTTTTTCCTAACCCTACTCTCTCAAACAGTAATTGTGAAATGTAATGACTAAAGAATTCACACAAAATTGCAATAATGAAAAAGAACCACTACTACCAAATTATTTAAAATTAATTTTATTAAGAAAACTATCAAAGTAATTGAATAATTCATTTTTCAACCATTTTACGAATCATTGAGAATGGTTAACAAGAGGTTTTCTTTTCATTTAAAAATGTTCTACTTATATTAATATGAGCTACTAAAACTTGTCTCCTCTAGCAATTAGTGAGGATTATTGAAAAGACTAAATTGAAAACAACCAGTGGGTTATTAACAATATCAGAAGAATACATGTAAAAATCTCTTACATTTGGAAAGCATTACTTTACCACTTCCTTTTTTATTTTTCAAATCAACTGATGCGTTCAAAAAACATTATACCCATATGACGTTCAAGGCACTGTGCTAGGTATTAGAGAGACAGAGACAAAAATAAAATAGTAAAATCATATGTTTGAGAATTACAAGGAACATCTCGTCCAACCCACAGACCAAAGGAATTTCCAGTGTAACAGTGGTCACCCCTACCCTCAGAGAGCTTCCATTCTACTAGTGAGAAGGTGAGAGGTTTACATTTTACTTTGAAATAGGGCATGTGAAGTTCTCTCTTTCTCTCTCTACTCTTATCCCATTGAATAGTGTATCCAAAATGTTAGAAATAAGGCCTTAGAGAAATAAAGCCTTCTAGTTAAAAAAAAGAAACTAAGCTCAGAATGAGTGAAGAATTGTTTATTTTTATGGTTCTTGTGAGAGAACCTGGCAAAACCTCTTGGAAGAGATTGCACCGATTACAGAATTGAGAAAAAGTTTTATACTGTTAGAATGCCGCAACTCCTCCCTTCCAGGCCTGGATTGGTCCGTTGCTCTCCAGGTTACAATCTTACACATCCACCCATCTGATGTACCCTTGACATGCCCCCCACATTCCTCATCATCCAAAAGCTTTTGTCCTACTTAGGGCTAGTTAAAACTGGTTCTGCCCTCTAGAACTTTGGGGCCCTTCTCATTGGCTTGCCCTTTCAAGGTTTTGCAAGCTTGTTAAAATAATGTAACTTCTTTGCTGATGTTGTAAGATGCCAGAGGTTATCTTAAATTGTGGGAGCATGATACCTTGTCCCTTGTAAAAAATAAATATTGGAAGGAGCGTCTGTCCACAGAAGAGATATTCTTTTAATTTGCATGGGACAGATAGTCTTGGAGTCAGGAAGACTTAAGTTCAAGTTCAAAACATATTGGTCATGTGATCATAGGCAGGTTATTTAGAGTGACCTCTCAGAGGCTAAGATCATTTTCTAAGAATCTAAGTTTTAGATGGATTGTCAATATTCATTGCTGAAGTGAGTCTCGACATTGAGAGTTTTCCACATTGATAAAATCATAGATCCAGAGTAAGGTAGATAAATGGATGGATAGATGGATAGATAGAGTAGATAGATACATAGACGTATTAAATAGATAGACGATAGAGAGCTAGACAGAAAAAGGATAGACGAGATAGAGAGAGAGAGACAGTCATGTGTAGAAAGACGGATATTCCCTTGCCCTGGCTATCTTGTACGCCCAGAATATACTTCCTTTTTTCACTGATGCTTCTTAGAATACTTAGTGTCATGTTTTACATCAGGTCTGTCCTAATCCTCCCTACCATACACACATCAAAAACAAACAAAAAAATTCCCTGTATCTTGTATATATTTCTAATAATCCTATACATAAAGATATTTGTCTCTTCTAATAGAATATAGGCTTCTTGGATGTCAGGGACAGTTTTCTCTTATTTTTTTTATCCCCAGCCCTGAGCACACTCTTTGGCACAAAATAGATACTTAATAGAGATAGATAGATAGATAGGATAGATAGATAGATAGATAGATAGATAGATAGATAGATAGATAGATAGATAGATAGATAGATAGACAGATAGACAGATCTATCAACATCTATACTCCAAAAAGGCAAACATAAAGGTTGTGTGGTATAATGTATTGAGAATTGGCTTTGAAGCTATGAAGGCCTAGGTTCAAGTGTCACTGCTACCAAATGCTGGCTATGTGAGGCTGGTTGAGTCATTCCCTTCTCCTTGCTCCAAGCAGCAGTTTCTGTAAGTTGCAGAGAAGGTGCTGATCTGCATGGTAGAGGGAGGTTCCTCACCTTGGAGTTTTCTATACTGAATTAATCTGTTAATAATATATGTAAGAAGGAGAAGATCGGGGTGAGGATGATGGGTTAGAAATGGAAACGGACTGATTAGAACAGAAAATTTGTGGTGGAAGTGCAAGTATAGAAGCACTGTTAAGTGCTTTTGCATGCCAAATACTGTGTAATGTTGGGAATACAACGGCAAACACCTAATCTCTGCTCTCAAGAAACTCACAGTCTAATGGAGAAACGACCACCTTCTAACAATTATGTGCAAATAAGATATATACAGAATAAAGCTGGCAGCTAAGTGGTGTCATAGTGCATAGAGTGCGATGCCAGGAGTTAGAGAAACTCATTTTCCTATGTTCCAACCTGGTCTCAGACAGCTACTAGCTGGGCGAGTCACTGAGCCCTATTTGCCTCAGTTTTTTCATCTGTAAAATGAGCTGGAGAAGGAAATGGCAAACCACCCCACTATCTTTGCCAAGAAAACTTCAAATGGGGTCATGAAGAATTGGGCATGACCAAAAAAACCAAACCAAAACAAACAAGCAAACAAAAAAAACAACTCAACAACAAAGGATAAAATGGTGATAATCTCAGAGGAAAGACATTTAGATGTAAAGAGATTAGGAAAGGCATCTTGCAGAAGGTGGAACTTTAGCTAAATTTTGAAGGAAGCCAGGAGGCAGACATAAGAAGGGAGAGATATCCAGACTTGGAGGACAACTTGTAAAAATGCATGGAGTCAGAAGATAGAGGATTTGGGCAGAGGAACCGCAAGGAGGCCAGTGTCACTGGATTAGAGGGAAGTAAGGTGTAAGGAGACTGGAAAGACAGGAGGGGACCAAGTTGTGGAGGAATTTCAACGCTTAACAAAGAAAGAATTTTATATTTGATTGTGGAGGTGATAGGGAGCCACTGGAATTTGTTGAATATGAAGGCAATACGTTCGGATCTGTGCTTTAGGAATATCAATTTGATCGCTAAGTGGAGGATGGACAGAGACAGATAGAGACTGGAGGCAGGAAGACTTAGCCATCGGCTATTGCAGTATTCCATGTGTGAGGAGATGAGGCCCTGCATGAGGGGGGAGGCAGTGCCAGAGGAGAGAAAGGGGCACATACAATCAGCCTTACAAAGCAGCGTGAGATACAGTTGATTAAGGTGGTGATGCTGGTCTGATCCATTTCTCCACTCTCATAGGTTTCCACAAGAGTGAACCCCAGAGGGTGATCTCGACTGTCCACCGATTCTCACCATCGTACAAATTCTTATTACAGTCAAGTTAACTGCTTAGTTTATTCATCTGAGATCAGGGTTGTGTAAAGCTATTTAATGAGAACCCTAACCAGAACTTCTGTCTTTTCAGGATGATGCTGAAAAGGAGAAGGCCACAGCCAAGGCTCTGGAAGATGTCAAGGCAAACTTTTACTGTGAGTTGTGTGACAAACAATACCACAAACATCAGGAGTTTGATAATCATATCAATTCTTACGACCATGCCCACAAGCAGGTAAGTTGAAATGGAGCCTAACTGCCATTTTTTTTTTTTTTTGGCTAGGCAATGGGGTCAAGCTAGTAAGTGTCAAGTATCTGAGGCTGGATTTGAACTCAGGTCCTCCTGACTCCAGGGCCAGTGCTCTATCCACTGTACCACCTAGCTGCCCCATGACGGCCATTTTTACTAACCAGTTCAGGCCACCATCAAAGCTGGCTAACTTTTTCTTTATGTGAAAATCGGTGAAGAAAACACTTCATATCTTTGTTGTATTTGATTTTTCTAATCACATGGCATGTTGGCTTATGTATGTTTTCAGATAAGAGGGTCCTTTTGCTATGAGGTGTGATTTGCATAAGGCCTCAATAGACCCTACTAAAGAAATTTAGAACCTTAAGGGAGATAGGATGATACCTTAGTCCTCTTTGAACTTTGTGAAACTTTATAACCTGGGTTCATAGCCACATATATCTCAAGAAAAATCAAATTTTATATCAATTACTGAAGGTTCCAACAGTTTAAAATGAAATTATAACTTCCAAAAAAATGATTTCTATGTATCTTCTTCATAATTATAATAAAACTTATTTAAAAAAAAAACTTTGAAGTAAAATTCTTGGAACCCTTGTGCTTAATACGAATTTGTAACCCAGTTTTGCCACTTCAATTCAATTCAATAAACACTTATTAAGTGCCTACTATGTGCTAGGCACTGTGCCTGCACTGAGGATACAAAAATAGTCAAAAGACAGTCCCTGCCCTCAAGGGGTTTACAATCTAATGGGGGAGATAACATACAAACAAAGGTATACAAAGCAAGGTATAAACAGGATAAGTAGGAAATAATTGAAAGACAGTAAGAGGTGTTAGAGAAAGCTTCCTGTAGGAGGTGGGATTTTAGTTGGGACTTTAAGGAAGCCAGGAAGGTCAGTAGTTGGAATGGAGGAGAGAGAATGTTCAAAGGGTGGGGAATAGCTGAGAATGCCCAGAGGGGAGAGATGAAGGGTTTTATTCATGGAACAGCCAGGAGGCCAGGGTCATTGGATTGAAGAGTATGTATTTGTGTAGATGGGTGGGAGAAGAAGGGGAAGGCTTGGGAAGACTGAAAAGGTAGGAGGGGCTAGGTTAATGCTTTGAATGCCAAACAGAACATTTTGTATTTGCTCCTGGAGGCAGTAGGTCACCACTGGAGTTTATTGAGTAGGGGGTGATATGATCAAGCCTATGTTTTAGGGAAATCATTTTAGTGGGTGAATGGAGGGAGGATTAGAGTGAGGAGAGACTTGAGGCAGGCAGGCCCACCATCAAGCTCCTATAGTAATTGATGCATGAGGTGATGAGGGTCTGTACTAGAGGTGTGGCAGTGTCAGAGGAGAGAAGGGAGAGGTGTATTTGAGAAAATAATAATTATGCTACCTACCTCACACAATTTTAAAGATGGCACTTATATCACTATGCTCAAGAGTGGCAAAAGTCCCTCTCTGTCCCATACGAAACCTGGTTCATCTCAATTTAGAAAAAAAACCAACTGCTTCAGCTCCTGTTCAATTAGTATATAAAACTGTCTGTCATAATACAAAAGCCATTCACTTTCTGCTTCTCCACATATGAAGCTAATCCCTATAATCTCCATTTGCCTCACAAAAGGATGGGTTTTTCCCCTCAATTAGTTCATTTCAGTGTCAGGTCTCTCTGAGTTCAAAGGGGTCCATTCTTAAAACATGTGATCCTGCACTGCCCTTTCTGGTCTACTTGGAAGGATCTAGCACAAAAGAGGTCTTGTTTCAATGTACTTAATCTGGGGGGCAATGACTGATGACCTGTAGAAGGAATTCAGTCCCATTAAAAGGGATGAACTGGGTGGGTTGGATTCAGTTCATGATTTCTGTTATTATTATGATTTACTCTGGTTTGAGACATGGCCATACATGGTTCTGTCTCTCTGGGTTGATGTCCAGTTGAATCAGACAGGTGGATAAAAAGAGGTAGTCCTAACAGGCCAGACTATCTTGCCTTGAATTTCCACTTAACACATTAGCAATGGATGAACAGAACATGGTGAAAATGAATGCCTAATAATACCAGGTGTCAGATGATGGTTCTCTCTTTAATCTGTCTCCTGGCTCCACATCTGAAACTCAGGTTCAATGGCATGTGAAGCACAGAATCCTAATAAATCAGAAGTGATGAAGCCTGCCATATTCTGTAATTCTGCTATTGCCTTTTAGAGTGTAGAGGTAGAGAGCTTCACCCAAGAAGGTATAAGAGCATGAAAGGTTCTATATCTAATTCTAGGATTGGGTTTTATGAAGGAAGTATCTTTACCTAGTATTATGATTCTTGTTTTTATTCATTTAACAAATATTTATTGATTGGCTATTATGTTCAAGGTGCTATACTAAGCAAGGTAAAAAATATCCCCTTTAATTTGACTCCTGTACTTTCAAATTTATTGAGTTTTATTGGCTTTCAAATGTGAACCAGCTGATAACATGGATTGAATTATGATTTGTGCTAATTGGGTAAAAACCAGTCAATGGAATCTTGACACTAAATATGATCCTTGTGGTTATAGAAGCTAAACTCTCACCTGCTGCAGCGATTTCCTGTACATCATCTAACTTCTGCTTGAATACTTCTAGCAATGAACATCTTACCTCTTGAGACCCTAACTAGGGGTGGGGAACTTGCAGCCTCGAGGCCACATGTAGCCCTCTATGTCCTCAAGTGTGGCCTTTTGACTGACTCCCAATTGGGAATTTGTTCTGTGAAATTTGGATGCAGTCAAAGGGCCGTACTTGAGGACCTAGCAAGCCACATGTGCCCTCAAGGCCAGAGGTTCCCCATCCCTGACCTAACCCATCCCATTACTGGAATGCTCTAAAGCAATATTGAGAATAATGTCTAAGTACTAGAAATGCAAATGGAAAGAAGGAAGGAAAGAAGAAAGGAAGAAAAGAGAAAGATGTAAATTTCTTTGTTTTTCCTATTTACTACAGGTAACCAGTTGAACTACATTTGTTGATTTTAAAGCCAGTTGCTTAATATCTGACCCAACCAAAATGTTCTCTGAAACAGCAGCCTGGAACAGTAATGAAATGACAGATTACAATAACAGTAATAACTTATTTTGATAATGGGTTTTAAGACTTAGATTGAGGTAGATGGAGGAAATATTAGAGGCACCATTTTTAAAATATGAAAATGGGGACTTCAAGAGATGAAATGATTTGCTCAGTGTTACAGAGCTTCTAAGTATCACAGCTAGGATTCTAATGCAGGTGTCACGGTTGCAAATTCAGGGCTTTTTCTAGGAGGCGTGATAGATAGAGTGACATGCCTGGAGTCAGGAAGACATCTTCCTGGGTTCAAATCTGGCCTCAGACACTTAGTAGCTGGTGACACCTAGTAGTAGTGACCCTGGTTAAGTCACTTAACCCTGTTTGCCTCAGTTCCTCACCTATAAAAAGAGCTGGAGAAAGAAATGTCAAACCACTCCAGCATTTTTGCCAAGAAAACCATAATTGGGGTCACAAAGAGTTGGACATGACTGAAAAAGATTAAAAAAAAAAAAACCACACAGATAAATAAGATAAATAAGATAGTCTGGAAAGATCGAAGAAGTTGTGAAGCTTTTGTTTTTCTTAGCATACTGCCTTGCATACAATGGACATCTAATACATGGTTACTGATGAATAAATGAATGAATCACAGTATTAGTTATCAACATATCTTCCATCATAGACTAGATTTAAACCAGGATTGAATACTATCATTTGAAAACAATGGAACAAAGAATGTACTGCTGGCATTTGGCCCAGAGTTCATAAACATGCCTCTATTCCCTATCAATTTGGATTTGTTCATTTTGGTTTTTTCCTTCTGATTCCTTTGTCTATATCTGACACAAAGGTGAAACTGTAAGAAACTGCCAAATCTAGTTGTAGAAATTATAATAAGATCTATTATATTTGCTCATGCTTTGAACTATTTCTTCTTTTACATAGACAACTGGTTCAGTTTCTTTTTAAAGAAAAAAATTCACCTACATTTTTCTGGGAATATAAGATGAATATAAAATTTCTTAGAACTATCTTTGTATTTTATTAGATTTCTTCTTTTAGTAGTCCAATTCCCTCCCTAATATCTGTCATATAATTAAGCATTTATTATTTTAATTTTTCCCTGGAAAACATTGTCTAATATTAGTTAGTGATCCTGTTGACCTATTTATAAAGCATTTTGGATATATTCTTTTTTCTCACACCCTGAAGATGTTAAAAAAGAAACAAAATCTTTGCCTATGATTTTTTTTCTTTCGCTATTCCTTTCAACATTGTTTTAACCCATGTCCCAGTTTTCTAATACCATATTGACTTTTGTTTTGTTACAGTTCCATGATGCCTGAGTTGAATAGCATATCAGTCTTTACAATATACCCACAGTGCCTCTCCTACCATTGTTTAAAATTAGTTAATTTTGTACTCTGCATCTATGATCCTCGTGTTTAACACTTACATTTTTTGAATACCTATAAGGCATAAGGATCTGGAAAATTCCCATGACAATCTATATAAGGTACTGATTAGTGTAATAAGTTTATAGCAATGGAATGAACAGATCCCAAATATTATAACCCATGGACTTTGCATAAGTCCTTCAGTGTTATACTCTGGTGATAAAAGTGGATAAGGCAACAGTAAATATGTTAATACCCAACCACAAAGTCTCAGATTCAAAGGGACCCCAGAGACCATTTAACCTGTAGCTGACCTACGATCCTTTCTCTGGTGTCTTCAACAAGCAATGTTCTAGTTTTGGTTGAAGAGTTTAGAACAAATTTAAGAACTGAATAGCAAGACAGCAATATACCAAGACCATGTATATTTTGCTGCCAAGTCAGTAAGACAGTTAATGATGAATCTTTGTTTAGAGAAAGATGACTGAGGCAACATGGGATGGCTTCATGGAAAAGTTGGAAATTGGGCTTGATGAGTAAGACGTGGACAGGTGAA